TCTATCTATCTATCTATCTATCTATCTATCTATCTGTGTTTCTCTTTCTCTGTCTTTCTGTCTGTCTGTCTGTCTGTATGTCTCTCTCTCTCTCGAGCGCGCACGTGGCAACGGGCAGCAGCAGCGGGCGGCACGTCGAAACGGCCGCTTTGAAATTGCTCGGGCCAGTGTGAAACCCGCCACCCCCAAAAGCTGCAGTGTCTTGTGTTCGGACCTCTAGGCCCTGTCCGGTGGGGTGAAACGACACTGAAGAATCCACCCATTATTTTTCAAGGGGCAAGGGTCGACGGAGGATACCAAAACTGGAAAAAACGACAGCTACCAAAAAGGGGAAAAAACACAGCAGCGCATGTTCCCATGTTCTAGAGGGAGATTCATTCTCATTTTGCACATTCCGGGCGTGCTGGAGCCAAGGGCCAATGGATCCTGCCGCCCCTGAGCAAAGTTTCACACTTGCTGCCAAGAAAGGCCATATACGCTTCCACAATTTTAGGACTTCCATTTTTTGTCTATTGTGTGGCATGACATCGCCCCTCTGGAAAAAATAAGAACGAATTTACCAGAAACGAAGCAACGAATCTACTGGAAAAAAGGAACAACGCCTGTACATGCTACACTGACGTACTGTGTACTTGTTTTTGAACATGAGCGGGCAACGACGTTGGAATGATCTCGCTCGCAATTCTGCTTTAGGCCCACGTCCCCACCCATTTTCCAACACTGGAAGCGCACCCTCGAAGAGGCGTAACGTGACACCCGCAACTTCCTTTATAATCCTTTATAAAGAGTAATAACTTATAAGTAAATAGAAAAAGGGTCCCATGTGTGTGAGACCGTGAGTATGCCAGCACTAATTCAGGGAGGGGGGGGGGGGGGGGGTGCACCTACCCCGTCGTACAACGTGATGGAGATAAAAATCTATACTGCCGCAGTCCACGCGCACATCGGGTTCCCGCAGACATCAAATCCCAGTTTCAGACCCCTAATAACACATATTTGGGGTCTTCCTGGGCTGCAACAAACTAGGGGGTTCCAAATTGGACCCCCACTCACTCCAACTCTCAAAATTTCTTTTTTAATTTTAAAGCCACCGGGTGTCTCCTCTTTAAGAACTCAGAAAGAAAGACTACAGCCAATCAGCGCAGTGGGTAGAGCACCGGTTGGAAATGTGCATTGTGGTCGAGGTTGTGCATTCAACACCCTGCAGCCTTGCGCATGGACACCGGCGGGCATTGACCGATGCACGGCTGTACACACACACACACATCCCCCGGGTTGATGCACGGTAAGGATGACAGACACTGCCAAGGGATTCAGTCCAGGATCGTTGTATGTCCGGGCTCTCTCTAAAAATCTGAGACGTCAACAAAGCTCAAGTAAACGACCTGTCAAAATTGGACCCGGTCTAGTTCAGGTCCAGCGATCCATGGTTCAATCGAAGGTCCACTCGACCGGTCCGGGTCCAAACTCGCCTCCATGGGACCTGGTCCAACATTTGGACCTGGTGCACAACATTGGACCTGGTCCAGTTCAAGGACTAATTCTGATACAACGGTTACTGCAGTGTGATGTTGGAGGCAACTGGGGCGCAAGTTTGGGCCCAATCTGATCCAAGTTGTTTTCCAGCTAGTTGGTTTCTGGGTACAACGTTTGCTGACTTATGGGTCCAACAGGGGGGCAATCATGGGTCCAAGAAGGCCCCAACTATGGGGTCCGATAGGGGCCCAATTATGAGTCCGGCAGGGGGCAAATTTGGGGCCGAACTAGTCCCATTTCTGGTCCACCGGGGATCAGACTTTGGGTTCAAACAAGGCTTGCTTTGAGGCCAAATTGCGGTCCAATTTCAGACCCAATCAGGGCCCCAAAAGGGGCCCAACTAGTCACCTATATCCGGTCACACAAGGGGGCTCAATTTCATCCCAAATGAGGCCCAACAATTTGGGTTCAACAGCCTTCCAAATGCCCTTCAAAAGCAAAGGGCTTTGCCTTGCAGTGGCAGACCTGACCTGTGCTCCCTGGAAAGCCCGACTGCAGTTGGAGGCCCCCACTGCTGTACTCCCTCTCCGAACTTCACTCTGCCATCGCTGTTTTGCATCCCTATTCTGCAGATAGGGCCCCAATTATGGGTCCGATAGAGGCCCAATTAGGGGTCCAACAGGTCTCCAATAATGCGTCCACTCACCGCTCCACTTTGCCTTCTCTAACTGCCAAGACCATATGATCCCACCACCACAGCGCTCACCGGTTCACTTTGACTTTTACAAATCGCATGCTCATGCCGTATCGAGATCCGATCCTGCATTTATACGGTAATTCACAAGAGGACGAAACAACGAGAAACCACATCAGCCGAAGAAGCAGTCCGACTCAGAAAAGCAACCCAAGTAACAGTGAGGAATTACACGAGTAATCGGGATAACCGAGTTGAACCCATAATTGGGCCTCTATTCGACCCATAATGAACAAACACGGGCATCTTCAGAAGAACTCTTTCTACGAATTTCTATGAGCAATACAGATGCCATCGACTGACATTTAAATTGGTTAAAAAAAAAAAAAAGGAGGTTGAATGACTTCGAAGTTCAATTGATTTAATTGAAATTACACTCTTATATAATGAGCAATGAGCTCGTAATAATTACTTCACAATTACAAAGTTTAAGGAATAAGCATGTTCCTGTGCCATCATAGAAGCATTATCGAATCGATCAAAATACGGCAAAGCTTCTAGATAGCTTTTATATTCAATTAATTTTTCTGTACCTCTATGAAGTAAACCAATATGTGGTTCTGCACGCTCTACTCTTAGCTTACCTTTTCTTTATAAAAAGACTACAAAAAAGACTACAACAAAGGGAATCAACTTCAATCAAGCATCCACTATCTATTTAGAAGAGAAGAGAAGTCGGTGCTTGATTGGAGATTACAAGTGCTAGATGTCGAAGCAACAACGAAAAAAAGAAAGGTGCTAGATGTCCACCGGTGACGCGAGAACCTGTCTGCTTCTGTGTATTCGGTTTCATTATGTAAGCCTTCGCCACTGGGCCCCGTTGGTAATAAAGCAGATGATGATTTCTTTTTTTTTTTTCAAAGAGAAAAGTGTGTCTTAGACCACCAGTACCCCCAGGCCTGGAGGGACCGCACTGCGCGAAAAGCTTTTCTGAGCCGCCAGCGGCACACTCGAAAGCTATAGCGACGGAGTTCTTCCAGATCCTGACATATCGAAGCTGCAAGGCAGGTGGTGGAAAAATCGAATCTCGCACCCCCGCCCCCCCGGCGCCCCCGCCCCCGCCCCCAAAAAAAGAGAAGACAATATCGAAAAGCAGACGATGATTTCTTTATTAAAAAAAAAGAGAAAAGTATGTCTTAAACCACCAGTACCCCCAGGCCTGGAGGGGCCGCACAGCGCGCGAAGCTTTTCTGAGCCGCCAACGGTACACTCGAAAGCTGTAGCTATGGAGTTTTTTTCCAGATCCTAATATATTGAAGCTGCAAGGCAGGTGGTGGAAAAATTGAATCTCGCAATGTACATTAACTTCGTCATGTACATCTGCATGGTCGACTTCGTCATGTGCATTGGTCTCCGGCTGGAAGGTTATTCCTGGTTGCATCGTCGCAGTTGTAGGCTACTATAGGCGGGGCGCTGGGCGCCAGATGGGAAGAGCGACATTGGATGCATCATTCCTGGTGGCGAGTTGGGGCTGAGATTGACATTTGTGTTCATTGCGTTGCTCTCATTTGGCTTGAATCTCGGTGCATACTACTTTCTGCTTGGTGCACGACCAGCTGGTCTTCCATGTGATGTTGCGGCTTCCTTTTCTGCCCAGCCCTCTGATTCAAAAAAGGAAAAGCGAAAAAAAGAAATGCTGCTATTTTTTTCTTTTCTTATGAAACGCACATTTCAAACTAGTGCCATGACCAAAGTGCCATTTAGTGCTTTTTTCCTTTTTTCATACTCCAGAGTCAAAACCTAATATAATGAATAAAATAAAAAGGATCTGTTGTGCTCTAGGTAAGCACTGAGGGAAAACAGAAAAGGGTGTGGTGACTGTGGTCCAGCACTCTCACCCATAAAAACTTGTCGCAGCAGTTGCAGTCAAGCAGAGCAGGGAGTACACAAAGTACCCCCGATGTCGAACTCGGCGTGCATTTGAAAAGGCCCCCATCCTCACTCTGCGCACAATCACATCAACACCTGGATCGGTTGCCTTTCAAATTGGAATAGCAGATAGACAACCAAAGAGATAAACAAAGCCAATGTTAAATGTTTGGAGTTTCAGATATCGCCACCTGTCCCCACCGTCAGAATCCCTGCAAAGTTCTTGATGCAAACTTCCAGAGAATGTCATTCATACCAAAAGGAGGAAGAAGGAGGAGGAGGAGGAGGAGGAGAAGGAGGAGGGGGAGAAGGAGGAGGAGGGGGAGAAGAAGAAGACGGAGGGGGGGGGAAGGGGAAGGAGGGGAAGAAGACGAAGAAGAAGAAGAAGAAGAAGAAGAAGAAGAAGAAGAAGATGAACAAGCCAATTTTAAATGTTTGGAGTTTCAGATATCGCCACCTGTCCCCACTTTCAGAATCCCTGCAAAGTTCTTGATGCAAAACTCAACTTCCAGAGAATGTCATTCATCGCAGTACCAAGACGAAGAGGAGGAAGGAGGAAGAGGAAAGAGGAAGAGGAAAGAGGAGGAACAAAATGAAATAAAACAACTTCCACGTGAGCAGCAAAAAGGCAGGAAAGAGAGCCCTGATATGAACTGCCCCGTGCACTTCTATTGGCCTCGCTCCACTACTCACCAAATGTGCAAAAATGAGAACGAATCTTCCACTAGAACATGGGAAGATGCACCGCCTGATTTTTTGTCTTTTGTGAATCTGGTAAGTACAGCGACACCCTATGTACTTGTATTCCAACATTCGGAAGAGTCGTCGGCGCCGGCGGTGGAGACTTCAGTCTCGCCGCCGTTCTCCCAGCCGCAAGCCGTGAGGCTGCTGGAGCCTGGAGGCGCTCACTGGTTGGGTGAGACGCTGGTAGGATGAAAAAGGCAGGGCTTGGCCCCCATCGCAACTATGGTGGAGGAGACCAGGCGGAGGTGGGACATGGCATGGCTATGGAGGAGAAGTGAGGAAGAAGGATGAAAGAGGAGCAGGAGGAAGAAGAAGAAGGAGAGTGAAGAAGGGATCTTACCTCGGCTATGGTGGTATCAACCTTCATCGTCTTGGTTAGCGCTTCACCTGGAAGACCCCTAGTGGGATGATACCAGGAAGGAAGACTACAGGGGTGGAATGTGGATGGTATGGCGGCCATAGTGGTAGGCGCATGGTAGCCTTGCACTGTCCTTTGAACATCTGGGCTTGGCTCCGATGGTCCGCGATCGCCACTTTTCAAGTGGCTGGCAAAAAGGGGAGGATTCGGATATTGATTCTGCTCCATTCATTTGCTGTCGATGTCATTATTATTAATAAGATGTTGGGAGAGACGATGGAAGAAGGGAGATGGTGGGAAAACGAGGTAGGAGTGACATTGGGTCTTGCTTGTGTCCGTCTTCTTTGTCTTCTTCTTTCATTCTTCATTCTTCTTCCTCCTTCGACTATTTCTCTTTCCAATCTCTCTCACGGCATTCTAGCTCTTTGAGCCTTTACTTCTCGTGTAAGAAGCGACCTGCACGAATGGTCTAGCGACTGCCCCATTGTCCCAAACATCCGCTCAGTGAAATCGAATCCTCCGTGAAGATGCCGAGTACCAGCAGCTAGACGGTAAGACCCCGTACACCTTTCCTATAGCTTTGCACTGGCAACCCTGATCGAGTGTGTAGACACGGCCAGAACAGGCTCAACTCTGCAAACGTCAACGGGCTAGAACTGTATTCTTGCACTGTGAGACATGCAGGGTTATAACAGCCGTCTGTATGCGCGCTTACCTAGCCACAACCAAGGAATGCAGACCCTTGGTTGTCGTCAAAAATTACACGTAACATCTGCCTTATGGTGGACTTGCTTGACAAGCCACAACCAAAGGGAATATGGACCCTTGGTTGTTGCCAAAAACAACCCCACTTACATGTAACGTCTACCGGGGCCGTCTACTTCACAGTCACAGAAAACTGTGTACTCCTCCCCTAGCATCGTGAGGGGCGAGGACGCCCCCCAAGCAGGATGTCACCCATCCCATCGTACGACTCGGCTTCAGCCTTTCAGGAGAAATGCACCACCACCAACACCACCACCACCAAAAAAAGAAAAAAACAGAAAGGATGGATTGTTATGGGAGGAGGCAAAGGAGTGGGGTACCATACCCACCGGCTTGCGGCTATCACCATACATCCTGTACTTTCATACTTTGTACATGATTATGCAAACGCCTTTCATCTGTGCATGTGTACCTATGATTTACTTGTACTGTCTCATCACCATTAAAAGTTAACCAAAGAGGGAGAAAGAAAAAATACAACAAAACAAAAAGTGTGTATTTCATATACAAACTAAATGACCTGTTGCGGCTTCGCTCGCAAAAACAAATGTGACAGGTGATGTACTGAGGATGGAGGCAACCTACCATTGCAAACTCTCTCCCCCTCCTTCCCTTCTTCTTCTTCCCTTCTTCTTCTTCTTCTTCTCGCCCCCCCCACCCCTGCCCGCCATCCCTCACACCATTTCCTCTTTTTTTTTTTTTTGTGTGTCTTGTGCCACATGGGGCCGCGTTTTGG